TCGGGACCACGCGACCACGATGCCCTGTCGCATCGCCGCCGCGGCCTCCATTCTCTCTCAAAGCATTTTCCTAAAGGAATACGTAACGAAAATCGGTTTGATTTTGATTAGGATTAGATAACCATCTCGCAAGAAAAAGCAAGTGGATATCTAGAAAATTTTTGCAACAAGATAAGTTTTGGGAGACGTGCTCTGTTAGCCCGATTCCTCATTTTCTCTGGTAATTGCGTATATACAAAAAGATTTCTCTCGAGAATGACATGCGAAATATAAATAAAAAAAAGAAATTGTTCGAAAATGATTCCTTGTTGCAATAGGATAAGTAACGGGAGACGTGCTCTAATAGTTTCGTTTCCCGTACTTTTTTTTTTGGTGATTTCGCATGTATTATGTACTCTGATCATGAGACAATTAATAGTAGAAAATACTACATTTGTCCGGTCCATTCACGAGTTTTGGCGGGACACGTGGATATTAATTTGACATCCCCGAGGACACTCCCTAGAGCGAGGGGCACTGGCACTGCAGTGTCGTCGCTCTCGAGCACAGCGCACGATTGGTCCACGTGGCATCGGGGGGCGTTTTTGGGGGTCCCGCAGGTCGCGTGGGACCTCGCTTGAAAGTATAAAGACACGAATCCGTGCCAGGATGTTGGTTTGGAGCTTTGCCCCTTTTGACAGCCACGACGGCATTCTCATCTTTTGGCTTTCGCCTCGCATGTGCGACTTCCTGGACAGCGACGGTTCTAAAATCATACGGGACATTTCCCACGGACATTTGAGGGTATATTTGGTTCAGCTTTTGAGAAATGTATTTGGCAAAATGCAAAGATTTTTAAGCTAAAAGGGATTTTCGAAATGTAAGTAGTGTTTGGTAATGTGTATTTTAAAATCACATTGAATGTAACTTTAACCTAAATAACGTTTGGTAAAAATTATTTGTAAAAGACTTTTGCTGATATTAAAATAAAAAAAAAAATCGGCCACCGACCACCACCGCCGCCGGCCAGATCTAGTCGCCGCCCAGCCTCGCCTTACCTCAGGCGGTGGTCGTCGGCCATCGGACCAGCCGCTCGGGAAGATAATGAACAATACCAATTGCGTTCCGAAAATGCAACTTGCCAAAGCTCCTCATGAGCTCCCTTCAGCCAAAGGTCCTTGGAAAGCTTTGGAGATGCAATTGCATCTCCACAAAGTTTGCCAAAAAATTTACCAAACAACTTTACATTTGCTCAAGGGACTTTAGACCCCAAAAGTAGCATTTGAAAGCTAAACCAAGCAGGCCCTGAATACTCGGAAAAAAGCAAAAAAGAAAAAAAAAAGAAGGAATTTTCATTGAATGATGAGATTATTGTTTTCAATATCGCGTCTTTTCAAGACATGTCGAAGATCAAAATCATAATCGACAAAGGCGAGAGGAAATAAATCATCGCGACCGAGGCATAAGTTGATAAGAAATGCTAATTTTTACGGCTCCCTATGGGGTTAATTGCAAAAATTCGGATTAGCCCCGTGTAAAGGCATTTATAATTCCAAGTGGGATATCCAATTCGGATCGTCCCTTTATATACGACATAGATATCTCTCTCGCTCTGATAAGTACAATCTAATTGAAAGCAATGCGTGAGATGTGAAATACAGTTGGCTTACATTTTGACCTTTTTTTTTTCTTCTGTTGACTCTCATAATCCGATTATGATTAAACACGAAAAACTCAAAATCTTTGAAATAGGAAAATACCGGCATAGTAAAAAATACTTATGTCATATTGTTAAGTAACTGGCAAACTCGAAATATTATCTTTTAATTTTAAAATTGAGAAGGATAGTCATAAATAGAAAGTGCACCTCGAATTTAAACCCCCAAACAAAGCGATTCCTTTTTTTTTTGGTTATATCCTAATAATGAAGAAAACCATATTCTCAACTTTTATAAAAGTAGGATTGATTCTATTTATTCATCGATACATGGATTTATATTACCATTTTCCTAATAATAGAGACATCGCAGAATCATCGCAACTGTTTTAATTTTTACCATCGCCATTACATCCCCGTCAATGTCTCTAACACATTGATTGATTTATTTATTTACTCTTGAGATAAGTATACTAGAAGTCCTAAAACTTATCTAAAAACTGTAATTGAGTTCTAAATATTTCAATAAGTGCAATTACATCGTAAAACTTGTCACGAAAGTGTAATTGAATTATAAAATTTTCAAAAAATGCACTCAAGATTTGTCAAATTTGTCCAATCAAATCCTTCTATTTATTGCACTTTTTAAAAGTTTTATATCTCAGTTGCAATTTCGTGACAAGTTTTAGAACTTGATTGCACTTTATAAAAATTTTAGAACTCAATTGCACTTTCACGATAAGGTTTTAGAACTTCCAATACACTTATCTTTTTTTTTCTTTGATGAGACGAATCGATTTATCTATGCTACACCAAAACCCGCATCAAGCTCAAACGACTCTCTTATAGCCAAGAGCATACCAAATCAATATATGTTCGATTATATTTTAATCGACTTTGTTGGATGCGATAAATCTATTCCTTCCTGACAGAAAGATGAAGCCAAAAAGCGATCATGTTGCTTTAAATTTAATATCGACTGTGAATATAATGATCAAGTTGCCTAATAAATCGTTCCGCTAGTGCCAGGATAGTTGTGAGGTCTCCATGAGCATTTAAGCTGCTTTTGCAGGATGTTGGACGTCATCGAAAGTTTTTATTATGCCAATATCAACCAAAAATAAGGACAAAAAAAATATACAACTTGACCGTCAAATCTCAGAGGAAAGAAGATATGCCTGGGTTCTGAACATGTTGACCGAGTCATGTAAACAGTTCAAATGCAAATCGTTTTCGCAGTTCTTATGTCCGAAAACAATTTGTTGGGGTGCGACCACTGCGGGCGAATCTATGCGGATTACCCTCGAAAAGCATTGGAAAGTGATTGTATTTGGTATGCCAAACTTCGATCTCATTGGTCCTAAGCATGACTTTAAAAGGCTTTACCCGGATCTCGAGATGTCGAAATGAGAGGGTATTCCGAACCCACCGTAAGAAAAAACACATCGGGGAGGAACATAGGATGTGAAGATAGACCGATCGCTGAGTCATTAAACAAAGTGTTGAAGCTTTCACATTCGTTGACGTGGAAATTTATAATGGGCGATGGTTTCTCCTATGGCAATTGCCAAATAAAGAAAAAGGAAAAAAATAAAAGGATGGAGATTGTCCATTTAAACTATACTTTTTCTCGATAAAACAGAGAAAAAAAGTTATAGAGTCCAAAAAATCATCTAAAATAACTAGCTACTGTGGGGAAATAAAAGGGGCAAAGTTAATTTGTTTATTCATGGGATCATAATCACACATAGAGTTGAGGGTGCTTTTCTCCTTAGGCTCTGTTTAGTAGTTTGGATTTAAATTCGAATTATCCTATCGGGCATTTAGTGACGTTGTCCGAACCGGATAAACCAATACATTCAGATAAAATGCCATATAAGAAACCCGGCGTAAGGGGTGGTATAAATCCGGATTGGATGTAAAATTTTAAAAATTTATTTAACAATTCCAGCAGCCGTCCACCCACCATTAAACCTCTCCTCAAACAAGACTCATCGTCCTTGGTGTCTCTCACCGCGGCACCCCACCACCACCCCAGCAGCCGTCCACCCACCATTCCAAGTGAGCCATGAGCAAGGGCACTGACGAAGATACTCAAGGACATCAGAGTGAGGGACCGTCAACTATGAGCACCACCGTTGCGCTGGCTTTTTGGCCACCTCCACCTCCAACTAGGGGTGTGCAAAAGAACCGGAAAAGGCTCGGGACCGTCCGGAACCGGTCCGGTTTCCGATTCCAATTTTTGAAAACCGGTGGGTACCAATTCGGTTCCCGGTTCCATGTGTGGAACCGCCCACATATACCGAACCGGTAATATAATAATAATATAATATATTTATTTAATTTTTAATTTAAAAAGAAAAAAAAATTTAAATCTCTAAACTAAACCTAACTCGCTTGATGGTCACAACCTTACACTGAGCCGAGAAACACTTTTTTTTTGCTTTCGCCTCACGCTCACGCTCACTCTCACTCTCACTCTCTCATTCTTCTCAGTCGATGCTCACCTCACCGTCTCCAACTCTCCGTCTCTCTGTCTCCGTCCTTGATCGGTGCCTCAGTCTGGTTTTCGGGTGGGTTCATGGAACTAACGGACAGTTCCCGGTTCCAATTTTTCGGAACCGGTCCTTAGTGGGCGGTTCTCGATCGTTTTCCACCCGGACCATACTCACCGCTACCTCCGGCCACTACCAACACCGCTCGAACCGCGCCCTGATAAGCTACACATGTAAGTCTTTTGACCTTTTATCCAAGGTCAAGATTTTGACTACCTCCAAGATATAAGGTCGTCCGATGACCATAGATCCACAGAGCGGATAGATTTACGTTGCAATCTCCTTCCAAACGTACACACGCCCGCACATGTTCTGTACACGAAGATGCAGCCCCACGAGCACACGATGCTGATCTTATTTCATATTTGGATCGGCTGATTATCAAAGGCCAAGGGATCGGGGGACTCGGGAGTAATCTGCGCCGTCGGATCCAATGAAACTCCCGTCAAAATCCCGAGCAAAATCCCGCTAGATCGAGTCAAGACCGTTCCATGGGGTTGTGGGTGGGGTACGTGTGAAGCACGGGATACTTTCTCCGAGGGGACGGGGACGTGGACGTGGACGCGGGGGCCACGAATGGCCACGGTGTGTGTTGGAAAGTAGCTTTTGATGGTGGCGGCGCACGCTGATTTTTAGATTTTGCCGTTACGACCACTCGGTTAAACCTCCACTCAGCTCGCTCGCTCGCTCGACTCACACCAGCTCGGTGTGGTTCTTAACTTCTAAGGCTCGCCCTTTCGTTTCATTTTATTGGGTGGGGTGGGGGTAACATAAGCGTTCGCTTTCTCTCTCTATATAAGCCGGACCTTCACCTTCCTAGTTTTAACCCAAAAAAGGAAAACCCCACTCGCATTCTCACCTCCTTTCTCTCACTCTCTCTCTCTCTCTCTCTCTTCTTTCTCTCATGGAAACTCACATCGACAGCTTCTGGATTTTCGCTCTCCACTCCCAGTACCACGACCTCTCCCTTCCCAACCTCCTCCTCCTCCTCCTCCTCTTCGCCACCACCTGGCTCCTCCGCGCCCTCTCCCGCTGGGCCTACCCCGGGGGCCCCGCCTGGGGCCGACACCGCCACCACTGTCCCGATAACAGCAGCGACGGCGGCAACCCCAACTCTGTCCCCATACCTGGCCCACGAGGCCTCCCCGTGCTGGGCAGCATGCACCTCATGCACGGCCTTGCCCACCGCAGGCTCGCCGCCGCCGCCGCCCGCCACCGGGCCGGGAGGCTGATGGCCTTCAGCCTCGGGGAGACGCGGGCCGTTGTCGCCTCCGACCCGGACGTCGCCCGGGAGATCCTCAACGGCTCCGCCTTCGCGGACCGCCCCATGAAGGAGTCGGCCTACGGGCTCATGTTCGACCGGGCCATGGGGTTCGCCCCCTACGGCCAGTACTGGCAGGTGCTCCGCCGGGTCGCCGCCAGGCACCTCTTCTCCCCGAAGGAGGTGGGCGCGGGCGAGGCACGGCGACGCGCGATTGCAGAGCAGATGGTGTCGGCCGTCGTCGACCACGGCGGGGCGAGCTTCCATGTTCGGGACATCACGAGCCGGGCGTCGCTGAACAACATGATGGGCTCGGTGTTCGGGCGCGAGTACGAGCTGTTGCACGAGAATGAAGAGACGCGGGAGCTGAGAGCTCTGGTGGAGGAAGGTTACGACTTGCTGGGGAAGTTGAACTGGTCCGACCACCTCCCGTGGCTGGCGGGTCTGGACCCCCAGAGGGTGCGGTTCAGATGCTCCGAGTTGGTGCCCCGGGTGAACAGGTTCGTGGGCCGGATCATCCAGGAACACAAGGGTCGGACCGGTCCGAGGAGCGCCGATTTTGCCGACGTTTTGCTCTCTCTTGAGGGGCATGATAAGTTGTCGGACCACGATGCGATCGCTGTTCTTTGGGTGAGTGAAGAGCTACCGTTTTATATATCCTTGGATTTGTTAAGTTAAACTTTCATTGATATTTCAATTTATCCAAACTTAACCTGTTTTAAAAACTACCTCAAATAGGTATCATGCACACATGTAACATATGATATCATGTCATTAAACGATTTTTCTTGCATATGGTTCGCGCACACACGTTACTTTTTTACGTTGGATGTTGTAACTTCGCTGAAGAAAAAAATTATCTCCTTAGTCTCCTTATTTATTTGTAATTGATTGGACGGCGGCTAATTAATTTCTTCATTAGTCTCGGCCGATGATAATGTTTCTTAATGCGTCTCTTAATTACAGGAAATGATATTCAGAGGAACGGACACGGTGGCGGTTCTCATCGAGTGGATCCTAGCTAGGATGGTGCTGCATCCTCACATCCAATCAAGGGTCCACGAGGAGCTCGACCGCATCGTCGGTAGATCGCAACCTTTGATGGAATCGGACCTCCAGTCGACGCCATACCTCTCTGCCGTCGTGAAGGAGACCCTCCGATTGCACCCACCGGGCCCGCTCCTGTCGTGGGCCCGGCTGGCTGTTGTGGACACGACCGTGGGCGGTTACCACGTGCCCGCGGGCACGACGGCGATCGTCAACATGTGGGCCATCACGCGGGATCCGAAAGTGTGGGAGGACCCGCTCGAGTTCGCGCCAGAGAGGTTCGTGGGCGGGGACAATGCCGAGGCGGGGTTCTCGGTCTTCGGATCAGACATGCGGCTCGCCCCGTTCGGGTCGGGCAGGAGGGTCTGCCCGGGGAAGGCCTTGGGCTTGACCACGGTGACTTATTGGGTGGGGCGCCTGCTCCAGGAGTTTGAGTGGGCCCAGGTGGATCACAGCCCAGTGAATCTATCTGAAGTGCTCAGGCTCTCCTGTGAAATGGTCAACCCGTTGACCGTCAAAGCGAGCCCTAGGCGATCGTGAAAATAATGTCCATATTTTCCGGTTGATGATACACCAACTACTTCGCGCGCGAGTGTGTTTGTGTATATATATATATATGTTTGTATATCCAACATCGTAAGTTGGGTAAGGTTGCAATGTGTTGTGAGATCACTGAATATATAACATGTTTAGAATTATCCATGATTCTTGATAACCTAACCTAGTTTAGATCAACAAATTGCAAACGGATGTGCAAGTGATCTGCGACAATCGACGGACTTGATGTGTATGAGAACCGATTACAACTTGTGACTACTAATAAGAATTTGTGAGGAAAAGATTGCCCGTAAACAGAAGGTTATTTGAATCCATGCAACGGATGCATCCGCGCCATTTAAATTCTTTTTAAGTCGTATATTCGACTTACTCACGATATGATATCTCGAAATTAGGTTGCGCGGAAAGTATTACACGCATTTTGCCTCACTTAATTTGCATGGATATCCTACTTTTTGCTTCGGAAGAAACCTCGAATTCAGTATAATGGTCAGAAACTCGATTGTAGAACACGTTGTAGCAAAGGAGAAAAGGGAAGGTGGGGGTGTCTGTCGTTTAGTTAAATTCCTGAGGTTCGGCAGGACATGTGAGAAAAGGGAAGGTTGCGCACTGTGCAGAGCAGGACAAATTTCATTGAATTGGTTCGTGACTTGGCCAAGGAGATTGGACACTTGCGTCGGACCACTCATGATGATCAAGCATTTTGGGAATTTATCTGTTCAGGCTATAGGAATGGAATGTCTCTTTTTATCTAGACCCGAGTTAGACACTCCATTGAACCCCTCCATCGTACTCAATTTGTTTTTAATAGTACTGTAATGATATATTCCTACTTGTATCCTCGTCGGTTTGATTGCTTTTCGTAATCAGTTGTTCTGATGGCACGTTTTAATGCAGTTAGATATACGGAGCCTTTACTTGTCATTAATGCATATATCATCACCTAAATCAGTTACAATCATATCATTAGCATCGCGAATAACTTTATGATTTTGTTTCTATTGTTGAGCCATTCTAGACTCTTCGAGTACTCAATTAATCCTTAACATGCATGTCAATTTCCTATATGTGCAGACTAGACAAAAAGTTATGGAGTACTAAAACCGTGCCCTTGAAATAAACTTCGTGGAATGCATGAGTATGGTTCATCGCCATCTTCTTTTAGTTGGATATGGAAAAGCGCTTCTTCTGTGGACGATGCGAGAATAGACTTTATTAGTGATCTTAAGGAATGAATTATGAGAAACTTTACCTGATTTTCCATAGATTATTCTCTCTTAAAACATTGTTAACCACCCTTTAAATGATATCATTTACATTTGTTCATATTTCGGAATCGAATTCGCTCATAACTCTCTTCGATAATGTCTTTTATTGGTGGATTGAGCTTGGGCCTACAAATAGCTCATGTTTATATATAATATATTTCTCTTGTAATTGAGGATTGTAACAGAGAGAGAGAGACGTGAGGTGCTAATTATAGCGAAATTCTCTGTTGGATATAGCCTTAGTTTAACAGTAAATCAGGATAATATTTTGTGTCTCAATTTCTCTTTCTCGCATTTACTCTTTATTTTGTTATGCGCTTAATCCTAACATTCGATAACAATGATAATTAAATTAGTTAAAGAGAAGTATTCGCAGGCTTCAGGTTCGCACTATTGACCACATCCCCAGGACAACTTTTATCAAAGTTATCTTAGAATACTTGGACATAACTCAAGAAAAGGAAACACCGATTCCATGCATCTTTGTCCTTGGAATCTTCATCAACTTGGCATTTCCATCAAATGGGGTTATTACAGAACAAAGCCACCGCGATAAAGGACGAACCCTAAAGTCGACAACAGAAAACGTGCTTGAAAAACAATTGGGCACTCTCACTTTCATCGATCCATATTGATAATTATATTGCTTTCGAGCCTCTATTAGCCTAGCCCTCTGTAATGTAGCTGTGAAGAATGATTACAAAAGGGATAAGGACCTATAATGTAGTTGTGAAAAATGATTACAAAAGGGATAAGGACACTAGGAGTGCCATAACTTTTCATATGGCGCTCACTTAAGTATCATAACTTTTTTTTTCTCACTTGAGTGCCACATCGGAGTAAAATGAATCATTTGAGTGTCATTTCTAGCAAATCATCCTACGTAGATTTTTTAATTAATTTTCTATTCGACGTGGCTTTTTTTTAATGTTATTTTATTGATTTTTTTAATTTTTTTCTTTATCTATTTTCTTTATCATTCTTATTTTTATTTTTTTTTCAAGGTTGGCGAGAGTCATTGGTTACCCTCGTCGGAGGCCAAACTGGGTGAGGGCCGCCTTGCCATCGACCGGTATGGCCGTGAAGGCCCTTGGCGAGGCCATCGTGGCCTCGCCGGTCGCGACCGAGGCGGCGAAGGTTCTCGCCAAATCTAGTGAGGCTACCTCGCCTGCAGCTGCAAAAGCCCTTGGCGAGGCCATCGCGGCCTCGCCGGTTGCTGGTGAGGCAACGAAGCTCTCGCCAGATCTGCCAGATTTGGCGACGGCTGTCGCGGCCTCACCCGCCGCCGGCAAGGCCGCGACAACCTCGCCCAGAGCCTTCATGGCCGAGGGCAAAGCTGCTGTTGCCCAATTTGGGCCAGGCCTTCATAGCCGGCGAGGATCGCCGATGACCCTCGCTGGCTTTGAAAAAAAATTTGCAAAAAAAAAAAAAAATCAAACAATTGTTCACGTCAGCTCCGGTGAAACCACGTAGGACGACTGGCGTCCACGTCAGATTTTCCGGTAAGACAAATCACAAATGACACTCAAGTGATCAATTTTTTTAAATTTGTGGCACTCAAGTGAGCGAACAAAAAATTATGGCCCTCAAGTGAGCGCCATACGAAAGTTATGGCACTCCTAATGTTCTTATCCCATTACAAAACAAAGCCACTGCGATAAAGGACGAACCACAAAGTCAACAACACAAAACGTGCTTGAAAAACAATTGGGCACTCTCACTTTCGTCGATCCATATTGATAATTATATTGCTTTTGAGCCTCTATTAGCCTAGCCCTCTGTAATGTAGCTGCTAAGAATGTCGTTTCCCATTTCCACTTAACAACTGAAGCTGTATTTTCAAGCCTGAAATCATAACTTCCATCCAATTACTTGAATCTTGTATAGGTCAATGTGATCTCGCATGTCGCATCCTATCCAGCTGATTTACTAATCGCATCCTATTCAACTCATGAAGCGATGGCGGGCATAAAAGTACAAAATATAGGGATTTTATGCAACTTGCCTTGTCTACCAATGATATAGCCCGTTTGGTATTGTTTTGTTGCGGCTCTTGCAGCAGTGAAAGGCGTTACAACTTTTATTCGATATTTGGAATACTTCTCACAAGTGCGGCAGTGTGATAGTTGTAACAGTTTCAAAACATGTATTATCAACAATATAATCGCGCGTCGATTTGGTACAACTATGGTTGTATTCTAATCGTATTGTGCAGTAACTTATATGTTTGGTAATGCATGTTTTAAAGCTACAACGCCTAAAAGTTAGGTAACTAGCCTTTTTGAAAGCTGTTAGAAGCTGTTACAGTAAAGGTTGCTGAAACTCTGAGTAGTTTACTAATCACATTACAAAAACTACAGCAACCCTTGTCACAGCGGTAACTGCAATGGTGAAGCTATGCCAAACAGGTGGGCTTATCAACAATGAGAATCTCTCTTGTATTACGCCCACAAGTCAGCAGGACTATTTACTTTAACCTTCTTATCAATCAAAATCAAGTAGAATAAATGACTCGGCAAAAACACCTACTGAGCTTTTTTTTTCCTTTCTTTTCCAGCGTCTTACAACTATCGAATGGATAATAACCACTTGAACAGTACACACATGGCCTATTGAGAAGACAACGAAACTTGAAATGGACGTTAGCGACAACAACCTGTGAAGAGCAACGAGATAGAATCACATGGGAACGCACGTGAATGAAAATACATTGACAGTACAGGGTGTCTCGAAAGGCACCACACCTAGAGCATTCAATGGGGGGGGATTTGTCCACACGTTGGGGGCAACTGCTACTTACATTGCACGGAAGGGAAGATGCGTCATGTCCGAATCGAAGTGTACTATGAGTTTGCCCATAGCAAAAAGGAAATCTTGTTTGGCTTTTTGTCTGTTTCTCTGGAAAGAGAAAGCACCGTCATCCAGCATCCACCGATGTCGAATCCGCTCCGGATCTTAAATCTGTCCTTTGGCTTGGTCCTGTTCCATGCATCTCTCTCTCAAACGTTATGTCATGTTTGCACCGGAGCTAGTCCATTGTACTTCATTGATGATGCTTTGTCTTATATTAGCCCTTCAAAAACCCCCCCTTTGTGATTGTACCTGGTTTCATGGATCGCGGTCTAGGGGGTGTTTCCTCCTTTTTTGTCCTAACTAAATAGTACATATGAAGGAACTTGAGCAATTGGACTATTTTCTACCCAATTACCCTCACTGTCGAGTTTTGTTGCTCAATATCTTACCGAATCCTTTGTTTGGAGTTTGGATAGAAGCCCCCGAAGCTCTCAAGATTGGGTAATATATGAGAGAAAATATTACTCCAAGAATGCCCCCGATTAGGGGTGGTTCGGCAACTCGGCTATACTTAGGCTGGAGTCTCGGCCAGCAGCCCATCAAGCATAAAAGCTTTTGGGCATTAGGCAGGCATCAGGCCACAATGTGTTAGGGTACCCGGATTAAGGCGGGAACCACATGAAATAATCTGTAACTTTTCTAAATTCGAAAGCAATTGCACAACAGTGTCAATGCTAAAAAAGGTTTCGAAAAATTATACCAAAAACAAACAGAATCCATTAGCCCTCTGAATTTTGAAAGTTACAGATATCCCCCTCCACTTTGGCACTACTGCACAGACCGTGAATTTTGCCCAATTATAGGTTAGCCCCTGAACTTTGATTTTTTTTGCAATCGCAAATATTTCCGTTAACATAGCCATTAAGTGTTACATGAAATTAGATAAATTCATTTTCCTTGACTATAATAACTGCTACTATATTTTCTTAAGTCCACGAAGCTTCTTTAGAATTTTTTTTTTTAAATTCACCAATCATGTTATAGAGAATATTTTGATAAAGAAAAATGAATATGTCCAT